AATCTTGAGTCCTACAGTCTAAACAAAAGTAAACACTTCAAGTAAAACATCCGTGAGGCTAAGCAACTTACGTAATTTCCTTTAGAATAAATTTGATAGAAATAATGGATCATGTGTACTATAGGTGGACTCGGTCGACATATCGGGCGACAGTCGACCGATATATCGGTCGACTATCGATCGACTATCGACCGACTATCAATCGACCGATAGTCGGTCGATAGTCGATCGATAGTCGACCGATATATCGGTCGACTGTCGCCCGATATGTCGACCGAGTCCACCTATAGTACACATGATCCGGCTAGTGATATGACCATGACCGAAAAAAAAAATTGTGTTTAATCATACTTAACAATATTGTTTATTATACTTTTTTTGTGAGTCCTGTGAGCTTCAACAAAGAGAATTTATCAATTAAGCTACAATGCTTGTACATTTCGAATTAATGAGGAAAATAAAAGCTATACTTACACAGTTGTGTTCTTACATGTACAGCGAAAAATAGATTTTGGCTGAATCGATCACGAGAGACTTGTCAAAATGAGTGGTCAGTTTTAACCAACTGATGACAAAGGCTCGAGTTACATTCCAAAGGTTAGTGATATGCCCATGACCAAAAAAATTTGTTTTTAATCATCTTAACAATATTGTTTATTATACTTTTTTTTGTTTACAGCAAATTCTTTTTTGACATCCAACAACACTGGAATCTGGTGAAGTGTTGTGGGGTCTTATGAAGAATCATATAAGGTATAAATCCTATGTAAAATTTTATTGAACATAACTGACTGAATGACCATCAAAGAAATGCTTTCATGTGACTGGATTGGCTATGTACGTGGCATCTAATTATCAAGAGATGGCACCTGGAGCTGGTAAATGTTTTGAGGTGGTTTAACTTTGACCTTTCTGAATTTTCTGCACAGAAAATACTTTCTTTTTTTGTTTGAGCTTGCCTTCTGATCAGTAACTGCAAGTTCTATTACTGATTAAGAATGACTTTCAACTTGGTTATGAAACTGAGTTGGATGGTTTTTTTAATGATCTTTTCTGTAAGTGTCTGTTAGAAAACAGAGTGATATGGTTGAATCTTCAGGCACTACATTTAATTTGCTGGTGTATAGAGCAACCTAGAACTTACTTGTTTACTTTTCAAATACAGTGGTGTCTACTCCCTGGGACTTTGAATACTTTTTAAAACCTGCCCAGCATTGGTTGGTGGGACACTTGCCTCTTGTCTGTTGAATGGTACTCCTTGACAGTGACATCCAGCAGCAGCTGCTAAAGGTCCCCATCCAATGTTGTGAGAACATACAACCTCTTTTGTTACTTTGGTGCATTGTTGACCCTTTCCTTTGCTTTATTGATGATATTGAAGCATTCCACTGTTCTTTGCCTTGCAAATGATATGTGCTGAGCTGGGTGAAGGCCTACATAATTTTTTTTTTTTTTTAAAGAATTTTCACGTTCTTTATTAATTTTATCTTTGCTTTACAGTTTTTTTTTCTTTGCATTAACAGGTGATTCCTACTTTGTTAACCCAGCCTCAGGAACCAGGGAAATTACTTTGCTAAAGGACTTTCCCAATCACTCCTTGGATACTTTGTCAAATTCTTTGTAGATCACTGTCCCAAAGTTTTTCACCTCCTTCTGTGTTTGTTTGGGAATCTTTTTTGCCAGTCAGTTCTTTTGTTTGATTTTTAACATCTATAAATGGCTCCCTTTTGTTCACCACACAGCATGTATTTTTCTTGTAAAAGATACTCTCAACTGGATTCATTAAAATAAAGCATGAACACTGTGCAGGGTGTAAATGCAAAAAGCCATTAAGTTTACAAAAGTCTCTTCGCAGGGTTGATTTACCCTTGAAATTTTCCTTGTACGGCCAATACCTCTCTTCCAGATGCCAGCTTATGCCTTTTCTGACTCATTATCATATCTTGTTATTTTTCTTATTTTTTGGCATGGGAAATTGCACCCCTTAACTTAACATGAGCAAATCAGCATGTCAAACTGAAAATTTGAAAAACTGACTGACCGTTGGTAAACTGACTTGGCAGCCAAGGCAAGAGAAACATTTGGGATTTTTTGTGTAAAAGCTGTCGTATATTTGACTCCACAGGAAACCACAAGCCAAACAATGCGTTCCACGGGTGGAAATTGCAAAAAAAAAAAAAAAAAAAAGCAACTACAAAAAAACGCAAATTATTAATCATCATTGAAGTATTTCAGTGTTCCTAGAATTACAAGAGTCGCAAAAATACTGTTCTGGGGCGCCAAATAATAAACTAAGTCAGTTATTTAAGCAGTATCACTTTTCGCTGCAGTCCTCCTGGTATAGTTATTACTGTTTCAGGAGTATCTCGATTAAAGATTAAAGTCATTGTCCTATGACCGATGTTGACCGCCATGTTTAATTTGCACCTTTGTAATCAGCGGTGTAATGTCATAGTCAGGTCTTATTCATGTATTATTAACGAAAGGAAACAAAATGGCGGCATTTTTCGTAGCCCATAACGCTCCCGCCGGTGCTAAAGTTTCCGTTTCACGCAATTGTCTTTTGAAAAATGGAAGAAGGCACTGACAAACTTTGTCTTCACGTTCAGAATGATGTGTCAAGTACAATTGATAACAAACAAAATGCCATTAACTTTACAAAATTATCTTCGCAGCTCTAAAAAAATCTCAATTCTCTTTTTGAAGGAACGAAGGAAATTGCATTCGAAACGTAGATGGCTAGAATTTTTTACTGAGTATTTGTTTCATTCACTGGTCAGTGAGAGTGTCTGTAAATCTTACCAATTCCAATAAAAACTGATTGAGTAGCGTTTTGATCTCGTGACCCAACACGTGACTTTCGTCGTCGGTTGTTGCCATAAGGTAACAGTTCTTACGGAAAACTATCGTCCACGAAGGTTTCAGCGCAATCGGCTGTGTATTTGCGGAGATAGAGCTGTTTATTTTCTTAAGGCAATTTACTAATTACTTGCTCCAGCGAGTACGTGGGCGAACGATATCCGAGGCCTTTTTTCCGACCTTTTTGTGTTTCAGCCGGTGTTGAGAGGATTTCAGATCTCGGTAAACGCATTCTTTGTGGAAGAGAGGGGGTTGGGGCGACCTTCGTTGTATCCCACCTGACCGGCTTGCCACTTCACCTCCAGAATATTTCAATCGGTAAAATACCAGCCTTCTGTTTTCATGGGGAGAAAGGCGGAAGAAGCGGTAGTACTCTAACTTATTTTTAAGTTGCAGCTTATGAACAATTTTGTGATTTTTCATTGTCTCTATTTTCTTCTAGGTTCTTTGCCAATGTATTCTCTACCAACGCTCTTTTTAAATTCGGAGAAGGCGAGTGCTTGTAGCTCATGGTAGCTAAAGCAAGGATTCCCAAAACTCTTCCTCTTCACATGCACTAGCTCTTTAAATGATAAATTGACACACTCCGGGTTTTTACAGTCGTGTTTCTTTGACAAGTAGAACTGTTCTACAAAACTTCTGAGTAACCTTAATAGAACAAAGGCAGCTGAACTACGCATAAAAAACCCATGATACTCACTCAAGACAGAGCGGCAAAATGAGTGCGCATGCTTGTAACGTACGAGAAATTTCTTATGCGTAAAAGAATGGGAACGTCAATATTTCCATAGCAACATCATCGTGGTTCAACAGGGGCAATTTTGAAATTCTCATTGTTTAGTTTCATTTCGCGGGGAAAGACCCAAACCAAAACAGATAAAGTTGCCGTTTCAGGAAAGTTTCTTTCTATCACATATCTCCCTCAACAAAAGAAATATTGCGGTAACAGCTGCAAATTTAGCGACCGCAGTAGTGCATCTGTAACATGGCGATGAAGTTCGTAGCACCTTTTACTCCTTTAGCGCTTCTTGTCATCGACTCCTCAGAATGAAAACTCGCTGGAGAAAAGGATTGTTGTCTCAGCAGGAGAACCCGCATCAGCTTTGTCTCTGTCCTCACTTTGTAGTCGTAGTTGCCAAGAAGATAACGCGAATCGTAAGTCACGTATCTTAACATCGTCGTTTTCAAGTGAATAAACATCAATAAAATGATTTGATTACACAATCTCTATCAACACGCTGTTTCTATTCATGTCAGTAGTGTTTTCTATTCCCTCTATTGAAATACTTAACTTTCCGCACCAGCATTTCTTACAACAAACACTTGGCTTGTATCTACTAAGCCTCTATTTAATACAAGTGTACTTTTTCTACGGCTTTACTCCTGAAAAACTGAAATGGAGTTGGTTTATCGTGTTGGCAACTACAGCTTTTTTCAAGGTCGGTGGATCACAGAGTCCGCGATAATCTGCGAAAAAAATTAAAAATTTAGCACTTACTTCAAATTATATGCCATATTCCAGTCCTACTTAGCTCTGGGACTCGACGAGCTGGGTTACCTGTGGTACAGTGCGGGGAAGGACTAATATATTATGGGAGAGGAGACGGATCGTCATCTAACATAGCCGTTAAGATGTACAGCGTGTTTCAATCTCGTTCCTAGGGTCCTCTCTCCTCCTCTTTCGTACGGATTTTTAGGGAAAATTGGATTTTCTTTGAGGTGCATGAACTGCATGCACCTCAGAGTTTTAAAATTGTGACGAATAAAGTTTGTTGATCTTTAACAGAAATGTCTGTTGGAGACAAAGTAACAGCTGAAGCAGTTAAGAGGTCCTGTGGTAGAATTCTTGTTACGATCGAGATCACATTGAATTATAGTGTCGGATAGTGGCATTGTTACGTTGATTGAAGAATATAAGCTGACTTTAATAAAAGCTTACATAAATGATAAGTACTTACAGGCCGACTGCGAGACCAGATGAGAAAATGAACACGAGGTGAGCGGACAACACTGGAGAAAAGAACAAGACAGATTGGATTTAAATTCAAGGATCTCTGTGGTGGAGAGTAACTTGAGATACAGAGCGTATGCAAAATTCTTGAACTGGTTCGTTCTCATGAGAATATCAGTTCAAATTTGCATGTTCGTCCTGCAATGTGGTTTCTGTCTCATGTTGATGTAGCTCTCGCGAACTTTCTAAAACATTCTATCAAGCAATACAATAATAATGTACTGAAAACTTCAAAATTACTTTTTTTTATCGGCTACAAAGAAAGGAATTTTGAAGTCACCAGTACCTTTTAAAATGCCTTATAAATGTTAAATAAGCCAGTCACCGAGTAAAGAAGTTGTTTTTGTCGGCAAAGAACGACTTTTTGAAGAAGCTACCAGAAGCTGTTGTGGTTTGTAGTGGAGGTATGCCTATAGTCGAGAGTTTCAGAAGAGATTTTACGATAGTGGTCGGTTTGATGTGACTTTAGTTTTAGTTAAGGCATATTGTGTTGTTTAGGAGTTGTTCCCCTGAAATAGTAAAATTGAATATTGATCCGAGATTGCGTTGGGTTTGCTTTACTTCGTTCTGTGATTGGTCCGGAAAAATCGCAGCCACTCTCTCAACCAATCACATCGATGCAAAATTAAAGCCACTCACGACTTCGTCGCACGCGTTGTCCCGCGCTTCAGGCAGTTTGCTTGTTTTTAATTTGAATCTTATTGGCTCTGAGAGGTATTTCCGGTATCTTCTGATTGGCTTTTGTAATAACTTTGGTTTTGGTTTTACAAACACTCAATCCAAAAGCATCCCATTTTAAAAAGGTATTTTTCTTGTCGGTTTAATTATACCGTGACATCTCCCAGTTGTAAAATGAATGATTTAAAACAATTTTTGTTCGAGTTAAACTAGACCAACCTGAGCCGGAAGCTGGGCAAACGTCATCACATTGTTTTACAGGTTTCAAGTGTTCTTTCTCATAGTACGTGAAATTCTTTTCCACCTCAGCACAGCGACACACTTTATCGGCCAAAGTAACGTAACTACAGCTGGTTGTACTGAACTCGTCCTTGTCACATTTCTTATCGTTGTTAGATGGCATCTTGATGCTACATGACATGGTCACTGTGATGGCTCCTCCATTGCTGCAAGATGTGCAATCTGGTGACGAGTACTCGGTACCTATGCTGAAAGACGCTGAAAATATTTAACTACCAGGTGAATATACAGAGTATTGTTAATCACAGCAGCTATTTCACAGTTCCAAGTTCGCAATTCGAGTTTATTTTCTCCATTGCTGTTAACCTCTTCTTTTTTCTTTTTGTTTCAGACTTACCACTTCGGTTTGATTTCTATTGTCGTTTCATTCCTAAAATTTTTAATTCGTCCGCGTCGACAAATACAATTGAAAAATTTATGATGTTTTACCCTTGGTAACCTGTCATTGCTGTCAGCACAAATCCTGTGAGAGACTGTGGCCGTCTTTTCTCCAAACTGGACCTCCCCATGCAGTTCATTCTTTAATTAATGTATAAACAGCTATGAAATAATGATTCAATGAAACGCGCGATTACGGTTTTATAAAAGAAAAGGTACTTATGCCGACAATTTCACGCAGAAATAAAAAATGAAATTATATAAAATAGAAAACGTGGAAAAAAGAAAGAAAGCAAGAGAGAGAAAAACTGAAAATTAAAACAAAGTTTCTTGAGGGACATGTCTCCAGAAACCCAAATTCCAACCTTTCCCTTTGCTATTAAATTTTCATTCTGTTGTCCTTAGCTTTTAAGAATACAAAATGTCTCTTACCATTACGAATGGTGGACATGGAAGATGATGTTGTGGCAGAGGGACTTGTAGTCTTCACATCAGCACTTGATGACTTGGTTGTATCGTGGGTTGTTGAGGTTGGTTGTACTGGGGCTGTAGCGGACGCTTTTTTTGTCGCCGTCATTGGAGTTCCTGTGGTAGAAGTCCCATCTTTAGACGCTGTATTGTTAACTACAGCCTTTGCAGGTGTTGTGGCAATTAATTAGTTTGTTTCATAAGATAGAGCAATTATCAATTCAATGGCGAAAGTAATCCGAGATGGCGATGGGTTGCTTTACTTCGTTCTATGATTGGTCCAAAACACTCGGGGCTTCTCTCTCAACTAATCACATTGATCGAAAACCAAAGCCAATCACGACTTTGGCTCGCACTTTGGTCAGTTTGCTTGTTTTTACTTTGAATCTTACTGCTCTGAAAGGTATTTCTCCTTTCTTCCGATTGGCCCTCTGTGATAACTTTAGTTTTGGGTTTAAAACACTCAATCCAAAAGCACTCCATTTGTGTAGGGTATTTTTCCTGTCGGTTTTATTACACCGTAATACCTCCTAGTTGTAAAATGAATGATTTGCAACAATTTTTTTTTAATAGTTGAACAACAACAACCTGAGACGGAAGCTGGGAAACGTCATCACATAGATTTACACGTTTCCAGTGTTCTTTTTCATGGTACGTGAAATTCTGTTTCACTTCAACAAAGCCATACGTCTTATCAGGCAATTTAACGTTTCAATTATATAATTTGTGTTAATCTTCTCCATTGCTATTAATCCTCATCTTTTCCCTTTTTGTTTCAGATTTACGTCTTCGGTTTGATTTCTTTTGTCGTTTCATTCCTAAAATTTTTAATTCGTCCGCGTCGACAAATACGATTTAAAAATTCATAATATTTTATCCCTAGTAACCAGTCACTGCTATCAGCAAAAATCCGGTGAGAGACTGGGGCCGTCTATTCGCCATACTGGGCCTCCTCATGCAGTTCATTCTTTAATTAGTTATGAACAGCTATGAAATAATGATTCAGCACAACGCGCGAACACCGTTTTTATAAAAAAAAAAGGTACTTATCCCGACAATTTCACACAGAAATAAAAAAAGAAATTATGTAAAATAGAAAACGAGAAAAAAGAAAGAAAGCAAGAGAGAGAAGAATTGAAAATTAAACAAAGTTTCTTGAGGGACATGTCCCTAGAAACCCAAATTCCAACCTTTCCCCATACTGTTAAATTTTCATTCTGTTGTTCTTAGTTTTTAAGAATACAAAACTGTCTCTTACCATTACTTATGGTAGACACATTGGCACTTGGGGTACTTGCTGAGTTTGAAGCAAGTGCATGTTGCATACAACATATCAAAAGTAATACTAACTTTAGGCGGTGAGGGGAAGTCATCTGTCAAAGCGAAAGCGAATAGTATTGCAATTAACTCATGATAACAAACACAGAGAGAAAAATTCGATATAGCGAACAAGAGGCGAATGTTTTCTAATAGATTTGGTTAAGAAGTTGTAAGCTATGTCTTTGGATCAATCCACTCTTTTACATGAATACCTTAGTTTGACTGACGCCCACCAAGGTTTTGTTTTGCTGGCTTTAGAATGTCTCTTTGGTGTAATTTTAATAACGTGGGAAGGGAAGCGGTAAATTTATTCTCGCGTGGCGGTATCTGTCCACCGCCTCGAGCTACAGACAGCGACTCGGTCTGTTCATGAGAAAGAGCAGGCCCTGGTTCTTCGAAGGTTGGATAACACTATCCACGGGATAAAACTCTATCCGGTGGATAACGTTATATGTCTAGCTATCAGTTATCCGCCGGATAGCGATTTATCCGTTGGATAGCGTTATCCACTTTTATACAACTGGGCCCAGGACCATAATTACCCGGAAATGGAGCTCGTTTTCAAGTAAACAGAGTATTGGGTCTGAACTTGAAAACAGCCAACTTGAAAAACGTCTTTTATATTCCAGAATCACAATGCGTGCCAAGAATGAGATGGATTGCCCTTATCAGTCGCCATTAAAATTGAGTTCAAAAGCGAACATCTTTATTGAAAATGCGCTCTGTAGGAGGCTGGCTAAGGAACAAATACACTCTCAGTCTGCGGTATTTACAATATTAGAGAGAGTAAGTTGTTACTACAGCGACCTGTGGAAAAACGTAACTTATTTCCCTGTAAGATTTTCGCCGATAGCTCGATGCGTTAACCGTTTCTGACGGTACGACATCTTCGCTTCTGCATAACATGTGAGTGTAATGTTGAATTCAATGAAAACCTTGACTTAATTGCTGTCGAAGTTTCTTGCAAAGAGAGTGTAAAAGTTTGTGATGTCACGTTTTTGTTCCGTATGGGACAGCTAAGAAATGTACAAAGTTTTTAAACCCACGTGTTTTGCTTTTGCTTTGCTCATTAGATCTTAAGTTTCGCTACGTTCTTGTTTCTATCGCCGTTGTTGCTCTCTTTCACTCCCTATTTCCTCTATCTGTTGAATCGTAACAACACCATAATTTAGACTAGATCTTGATATCTAGTCTGCAACTGATATCAGCATTCGGAGATGAAAATAGGCTTAGGTAAACCTCAAATCAATGATTACTTTTATCAAATTTTATCAAACTTCAAAGGAAATTAAGTAAATTGTTTAGCCTCACAGTTAAGATGTTTCGCTGAAAGTGTTTACTTTTGTTAAGACTGTATGATTCAAGATTGGAAAGGTGCTCGTTTTAGCGCGAGAAAATGTGCACCGAAAGGTTGTTAAAAATTACTAGGCCGCAAAATCAAATGAAGAAGACTGGTGAGTCGTTGAGAAATTAAGTATTAAAACGGATGGCCAGTTCATTCTCTCTGACGTCGAAGAGACGAAATTCGACCTTCTGAATACGAACATCGTTTAACCATAAACACTAAATGAACAGTAGAAACAAAGAGTTAAAATGATGATCCATACCTTGCATCTGATCTCCACTGATGTAAACGGTTTTGTGCTCAATTAAATATAGTAAATGTCGCCGAGATCAAGAAAGCCTTCCCTGTTGAGTAAAATAACCTAAACTGAAATTCGGTCTTATAACTGTTAGCCTTTTTGTTGCTAAGGAAACGAGAATCAGAAATTTCAAACCAATCCAACCCTAGCCCCAGGGCTTGAATATTTACAGAACGATTTCCAGAGAGGAATTACTTGCTCCAGTGAGTACGTAGGCGAACGATATCCAGGCCTTTTTTCGAACTTTTCTGTTTTAGCCGGTGTTGAGAGGATTTCAGATCTCGGTAAACGCATTCTTTGCGGAAGAGAGGGGGTTGGGGCGACCTTCGTTGTATCCCACCTGACCGGCTTGCCACCTCACCTCCAGAACATTTCAATCGATAAAATACCAGGCCTCCGTTTTCATGGGGAGAAAGGCGGAAGAAGCGATAGTACTCTAACTTATTTTTAAGTTGCAGTTTATGAACATTTTTGTGATTTTCAATTGTCTCTATTTTCTTTTGGGTGCTCTACGAATGGGTTCTCTACCGATGCTCTTCTTAAATTTGGAGAAGGCGAATGCACATAGCTGAAGCAAGGATTCCCTAAATTCGTCCTCTTCACACTAGCTCTTTAATGATAAATTGACACACTCCGGGTTTTACAGTCATGTTTCTTTAGTAAGTAGAACCTATCTATCGAGGGAGTCTGGAGTCAGGTGAAGAGAAAGTTGAAGGCGATGATCGGAACCTCCCAAGGCAAACTTCCGCCCTATCTTGATGAGTTCAACTGGCGAAAAGTCTAGCCGGGTGAATACTTCGGGAACATGCTAGCGGACATAGCAGAATTCTACCCGCCTAACTGAGCCCGCTTAAAAAAAAAAAAAAAAAAAAAGGCTCCTTTTGGAGCCACCAAATGCAATAAAAGTTATGACACCAACATATATTATATAACGTACCAACATACCAAAAATTAGGATCACATTGCAGTATAGGGCGATTCTTAACTGCACTTTTCGATGGAGAATATTAACACACTTTCGTTTAATGCACAGGGAATGTTCGTGTGCCTTAAGGTTTTAGTGGCATTTTGAAAAATTTTAAGCATTTATAGTAAGTTTTACATCGATTTTTGAGTGCAAAAATGCACTAGTAAAGTTATTTCACCGCCTGTCGCTAACCTGTTGGTTACCTGTCGGTGGCCTGTCGGTTTAGTGTCGGCCAACTTTCAGTTGGCCGACTGTCGGTGGAGGGGAGCTGTTCTTCACAAGACTACAGAGTTTAAGTTGTCACTACAGCGACCGGTCATAAAACTTTGCCAGCAAAACGTAGCTTATTGTTACTACAGCGACCTGTGGAAAAACGTAACTTATTTCCCTATAAGATTTTCGCCAATAGCTCGATGCGTTGACCGTTTCTGACTAGCTACTTACTCTATCTGTTGAATCGTAACAAATTATATCATGATTTAGAATGGATTTTGATATCTGGTCTGCAACTGATAAATTACTTGCTCCAGTGAGTTCATTATTAATGAAAATTAATTAAATTTGTTGAGTGTAGACTTCCTCGCTTTGGAAACTCTCTGCCGGTGAAACTGTCAAACGCCTCTTTTCGGTGAACGCGAAGATCTAGGAAAATGCTTTTCTATTGAAATCTGCCAATCTCTGTCAAGTAATTACAGCAAAACTGATATTAAGAGCCCGTCAGCCTCTTACAGAGCGCATTTTCAATAAAGACGTTCGCTTTTGAACTCTATTTTAATAGCGACTGATGAGGGCAATCGGGTAATAATAGTCCTGCTCTTTCTCATAAACAGAAGACCGAGTCGCTGCCTCTGTAGCTCGAGGCGGTGGACAGATACCGCCACGCGGGAATCAATTTACTGCTTCCCCTCCCATGTAATTAAAATTAAACCAAAGAGGTATTCTAAAGCCAGCAAAATGAAACGTTGTCGGGCATCAGTCAAACTAAGGTGTTCATGTAAAAGAGAGGATAAATCCAGAGACATAACTCACGACACCTTATTCACATCTACTCGAAAACATTCGCCTCTTGTTTGCTATATTGAATTTCTCTCTGTGTATTTTTTATCATGAGTTAATTGCAGTACCATTTGCTTTCGTTTTGACAGATGACTTACCCTCACCGCCTAGCGCTTGTATTATTTTTGATGTGTCGTATGCAACATGCACTTGCTTCAAACTCATCAACGCCCGTTATAACCAATTCATCAAGTACTTATGTGGAGAATACAAGTACCCCTGTCACAACATCATCAGTCATGTCCACCTTACTTAATGGTAAGAGATATTTTTTTATCCTTAAAAACAAAGCACAACAGAATGAAAATTTAACAGTATGGGGAAAGGTTGGAATTTGGGTTTCTAGGGACATGTCCCTCAAGAAACTTTGCTTTAATTTTCAATTTTTCTCTCTCTTGCTTTCTTCTTTTTTCTCGTTTTCTATTTTATATAATTTCATTTTTTTTTCTATGTGAAATTGTCGGCATAAGCACCTTTTTTATAAAAACCGTGACCGTGCGTTTCACTGAATAATTATTTCATAGCTGTCTATACATTAATTGAAAATTAACCGCATTAGCTGACCCAGTTTGGAATATAGAGGGCCCCAGTCTCTCACGGAATTTGTGCTGACAGCAATGACAGGTTACCAAGGGTAAAAATATGATGAATTCTTAAATCGTATTAGTCGACGCGGACGAATTTGAATTTTAGGGGTGAACCAAAAATAGAAATAAAACCAAAGAGGTAAATCTGAAACAAAAAGGAAAAAGAAGAGGATTAACAGCAATGGAGCAGATTAACACGAATTGAAAACTTGGAACTGTGAAGTAGCTGCAGTGATTAACTATACTCTGTATATTCACTTGGCAGTTATATATTTTCAGCGTCTATCAGCATAGGGTACTCGTCACCAGATTGCACATCTTGCAGCAATGGAGGAACCATCACAGTGACCATGTCATGTAGCATCAAGATGCCACCTAACAAAGACAAGGAGTGTGACAAGGCCGAGTTCAATAAAACCAGCTGTGGTTACGTTACTATGGTCGATAAAGTGTACTGGTGTGCTGACGTGAAAAAGAATTTCACGTACTATGAGAAGAAACACATAAATCCTGTAAAACAATGTGATGACGTTTGTCCAACTTCCGGCTCAGGTTGGTCTCGTCTAACTCTAACAAAAATAGTTTTAAATCATTCATTTCATAACTGGGAGATGCTACGGCATAATTAAACCGACAGGAAAATACCCTACTTAAATGGAGTGGTTCTGGATTTAGTGTTGTAAAACCAAAACCAAAGTTATTACAAAGGCCAATCAGAAGAAAGGAGAAATACCTTTCAGAGCCAATAAGATTCAGAGTAAAAACAAGCAAACTACCTAAGCGCGGGACAATGCGTGCGACGAAGTCGTGATTGGCTCCAGTTTTGGATCGATGTGATTGGTTGAGAGAGTGGCCGCGATTTTTCCGGACCAATAACAGAACGAAGTAAAGCAAACCCAACGCAATCTCGGATCACTCACGAAATTGAATTGAAAATTGCTCTATCTTATGAAACAAACTAATTTATTTAGTTTTACTATTTCAAGGGGACAACTCCTAAACAACACAATCTGCCATTAACTAAACTTAAGTCCACTACTAAATCAACCTTCAGTCACCACGGATACAAACTCACATCAAACCGACTGCTATCGTAAAATCTCTTCTGAAACTCTCGACTATAGGCATACCTCCACTGCAAACCACAATAGCTCCTGGTAGCTTCTTCAAAAAGTCGTTCTTTGCCGACACAAACAACTTCTTTACTCGGTGGCCGGTCTATTTCACATTTATAAGGCATTCTAAAAGGTACCGGTGATTTCAAAATTCCTTTCCTTGTAGCCGATACAAAAAAAATAATTTTGAAGTTTCCGGTAAATTATGATTGTATTGCTTGATAGAATGTTCTAGAAAGTTCGCGAGAGTTACATCAACATGCGACAAAAACCACATTGCAGGACGAACAAGCGAATATCAACTGATATTCTCTTGAGGACGAACCAGTTCGAGAAATTTGCATGCGATCTGTATCTAAAGTTACTTTCCACCACAGAGATCCTTGAATTTAAATCCAATTTGTCTTGTTCTTTTCTGTAGTGATGTCCGCTCACCTCGTGTTCATTTTCTCATCTGGTCTCGCTGTCGGCCTGTAAGTACTTATCATTTACGCAAGCTTTTAACCCAGGTAACCCAGCTTGGCCAGTCCCAGAGCTAAGTAGGACTGGAATATGGCATGTAATTTCAAAAAAGCACCAAATTTTTCATTTTTTTTTTTTTTGCAGATTATCGCAGACTCTGTGATCCACCGACCTTGAAAAAGCTGTAGTTGTCAACACGATAAATCAACTCCATTTCAGTTTTTCAGGAGTAAAGCCGTAGAAAAAGTATATTTGTTTTCGATCGAGGCTTAGCAGATACAAGCCAAGTGTTTTTGTAAGAAATGCTAATGCGGAAAGTTAAGTATTTCAGTAGAGGGAATAGACACCACTACTGACATGAATAGAAATAGCGTGTAGACAGAGATTGTGTAATCAAATCATTTTACTGGTGTATATTTACTTGAAAACTACGATGTTAAGATACGTGACTTACGATTCACGTTATCTTGAGTTCTTGATCAACTACGACCACAGAGTGAGGACAGCGGCAAAATGGTTGCGCATGCTCCGTTACTCGAGCCATTTGAGCGTTCAAGGTTACTGCTCTCCCTCTGCAAACAAAGATGATGCGGGTTTTCCTGCTGAGATAACGATCCATTTTTTCTGGGAGTTTTCCTTTTGAGGAGGCGATGAAAAGAAGCGCTAAAGCGATAAAAGGTGCTATGAACATCTTAGCCATGTTACCGATGCACTACTGCGGTTACTAAATTTGCAGCTGTTACCGCAATATTTCTTTTGTTGAGTGAGGAGATTCAAAGGAAACTTTTCTGAAAACCGCAACTTTATCTGTTTTGGTTTGGGCCTATCTCCACAAAATGTAACCAAGCAATGATAATTTCAAAAATGCCGCTGTTTTGCCACGATGGTGTTTCTATGGAAATATTGTCGTTCCCAATCCTTTCCGCACATGAAATTTTTCGTGCGCTGCAAGCATGCGCACTCATTTTGCCACTGCGTCTTGAGTGAGTATCATGGGTTGTTTATGTGTAGTTCAGCTGCCTTTGTTTTTTAGAACAGTTTTACTTATTAAGAGACATGACTGTAAAACCCGGAGTGTGTCAATTTATCATTAAAAATGTGTGAAAAGGACGAGGTTTGGGAATCCTTACTTTAGCTACCTAGTGCTACGAGCACTCGTCTTCTCCGGATTTGAGAAGAGCATTGGTAGAGAACCCATTGGTAGAGAACCCATTGGTAGAGAACCCATTGGTAGAGAACCCATTGGTAGAGAACCCATTGGTAGAGAACCCAAAAGAAAATAAAGATCACAAAAATGTTTATAAGCTTCAACTTAAAAATAAGTTAGAGCACTATCGCTTCTTCCGCCTTTCTCACCATGGAAACAGAAGCCTGGTATTTTACCGATTGACATGTTCTGGAGGTGAGGAGGCAAGCCGGTCAGGTGGGATACAACGAAGGTCACCCCAATCCCCTCTCTTCCACAAAGAATGCGTTTACTAAGATCTGAGCAATTTATGGAAATCGTTCTGGAAATATTCAAGCCCTGGGGCTAGGGTTGGATTGGTTTGAAATGTCTGTTTTCTATTTCCTTGGCAACAAAAAGGCGACCAGTTATAAGCCCGAGTTTCAGTTTCAAGTTATTTACACAACAGGGAAGGCTTTCTTGATCTCGGCGACACTTACTATAGATAGTTGATCGCAAAACCGTTTGTATCAGTGGAGATCAGTTGCAAGGTATGGATCATCATTTGAACTCTTTGTTTCTATCGTTCATTTAGTGTTTTATGGTGAAAAGAAGTTCGCATTCAGAAGGTCCAATTTCGTCCCTTCAGAAGCATAGAGAATTAACTGGCCATCCGTTTTAATAATTTCTCAACGACTGACCAGTCCTCTTTATTTCATTTTGCGGCTTAGTAATTTTTAACACTTATTCGGTGCTCATTTTCTCGCACTAAAACGAGGAACTTTCCAATCTTGAATCATAATTGCAAGGTATGATCATCATTTTAATTCTTTGTTTCCATTATTCATTTTGTGTTTACGGTTGAAAGGATGTTCGCATTCAGAAGGTCGAATTTCGTCGCTTCGAAAGCAGTGAGAATGAACTCACCATCCGTTTTAATAATTTCTCAACGACTCACCAGTCTTCTTCACTTGATTTTGCGGCTTAGTAATTTTTAACACCTATTCGGTGTGCATTTTCTCGCACTAAAACGAGAACTTTCTAATCTTGAATCCTACAGTCTTAACAAAAGTAAACACTTTAAGTAAAACATCTGTGAGGCTAAGCAACTCACGTAATTTCCTTTGGAACAAATTTGATAGAAATAATGGATCATGTGTACTATAGGTGGACTCGGTCGACATATCGGGCGACAGTCGACCGATATATCGGTCGACTATCGATCGACTATCGACCGACTATCAGTCGACCGATAGTCGGTCGATAGTCGATCGATAGTCGACCGATATATCGGTCGACTGTCGCCCGATATGTCGACCGAGTCCACCTATAGTACACATGATCCGGCTAGTGATATGACCATGACCGAAAAAAAAAATTGTTTTTAATCATACTTAACAATATTGTTTATTATACTTTTTTTTGTGAGTCCTATGAGCTTCAACAAAGAGAATTTATCATTTAAGCTACAATGCTTGTACTTTTCGAATTAATGAGGAAAATAAAAGCTATACTTACACAGTTGTGTTCTTACGGTCATGTACAGCGAAAAATAGATTTTGGCTGAATCGATCACGAGAGACTTGTCAAAATGAGTGGTCAGTTTTAACCTTTGATGACAAAGGCTCGAGTTACATTCCAAAGGCTAGTGATATGCCCATGACCAAAAAAAATTTGTTTTTAATCATACTTAACAATATTGTTTATTATACATTTTTGTTTACAGCAAATTCTTTTGACATCCAACAACACTGGAATCTGGTGAAGTGTTGTGGGGTCTTATGAAGAATCATATAAGGTATAAATCCTATGATAAATATTATTGAACATAACTGACTGAATGACCATCAAAGAAATGCTTGCATGTGACTGGATTGGCTATGTACGTATCATCTAATTATCAAGAGATGGCACCTGGAGCTGGTTAATGTTTTGAGGTGGTTTAACTTTGACCTTTCTGAATTTTCTGCACTGAAAATACTTTTTTTTTTTTTTTGGTTTGAGCTTGCCTTCTGATCAGTAACTGCAAGTTATATTACTGATTAAGAATGACTTTCAACTTGGTTATGAAACTGAGTTGGATGGTTGTTTTAATGATCTATTCTGTAAGTGTCTGTTAGAAAACAGAGTGATATGGTTGAATCTTCAGGCACTACATTTAATTTGCTGGTGTATAGAGCAACCTAGAACTTACTTGTTTACTTTTCAAATACAGTGGTGTCTACTCCCTGGGACTTTGAATACTTTTTTAAAACCTGCCCAGCATTGGTTGGTGGGACACTTGCCTCTTGTCTGTTGAATGGTACTCCTTGACAGTGACATCCAGCAGCAGCTGCTAAAGGTCCCCATCCAATGTTGTGAGAACATACAACCTCTTTTGTCACTTATGTGTATTGTTGACCCTTTCCTTTGCTTTATTGATGATATTGAAGCATTCCACTGTTCTTTGCCTTGCAAATGATATGTGCTGAGCCAGGTGAAGGCCTACATAATTTTTTTTTAAAAGAATTTTCACGTTCTTTATTAATTTTATCTTTGCTTTACAGTTTTTTTTTCTTTGCATTAACAGGTGATTCCTACTTTGTTAACCCAGCCTCAGGAACCAGGGAAATTACTTTGCTAAAGGACTTTCCCAATCACTCCTTGGATACTTTGTCAAATTCTTTGTAGATCACTGTCCCAAAGTTTTCACCTCCTTCTGTGTTTGTTTGGGAATCTTTTTTGCCAGCCGGTTCTTTTTTTTGATTTTTAACATCTATAAATGGCTCCCTTTTGTTCACCACACATCATGTATTTTTCTTGTAAAAGATACTCTCAACTGGAGTCATTAAAATAAAGCATGAACACTGTGCAGGGTGTAAATGCAAAACGCCATTAAGTTTACAAAAGTCTCTTCGCAGGGTTGATTTACCCTTGAAATTTTCCTTGTACGGCCAATACCTCTCTTCCAGATGCCAGCTTATGCCTTTTCTGACTCATTATCATATCTTGTTATTTTTCTTATTTTTTGGCATGGGAAATTGCACCCCTTAACTTAACATGAGCAAATCAGCATGTCAAACTGAAAATTTGAAAAACTGACTGACCGTTGGTAAACTGACTTGGCAGCCAAGGCAAGAGAAACATTTGGGATTTTTTATGTAAAAGCTGTCGTATATTTGACTCCACAGGAAACCACAAGCCAAACAATGCGTTCCACGGGTGGAAATTGCAAAAAAAAACAAAACCAACTACAAACAATCGCAAATTATTAATCATCATTGAAGTATTTCAGCGTTCCTCGAATTACAAGAGTCGCAAAAATACTGTTCTGGGGCGCCAAATAATAAACTAAGTCAGTTATTTAAGCAGTATCACTTTTCGTTGCAGTCCTCCTGGTATAGTTATTACTGTCTCAGGAGTATCTCGATTAAAGATTAAAGTCATTGTCCTATGACCGATGTTGACCGCCATATTCGATTTGCACCTTTGTAATCAGCGGTGTAATGTAATAGTCAGGTCTTTGTCATGTATTATTAACGAATAGAAACAAAATGGCGGCATTTTTCGTAGCCCAAAAAGGAGTAATCATAACGCACCCGCCGGAGCTGAAGTTTCCGTTTCACGCAATTGTCTTTTGAAAAATGGAAGAAGGCATTGATAAACTTTGTCTTCACGTTCGGAATGATGTGTCAAGTACCATTGATAACAAACAAAATTCCATTAAGTTTATAAAATTCTCTTCGCAGCTCTAACAAATCTCAATTCTCTTTTTGAAGGAACGAAGGAAATTCATTCCAAACGTAGATGGCTAGAATTTTTTACTGAGTATTTGTTTCATTCATTGGTCAGTGAAGAGTGTGTGTAAATCTTACCAATTCCAATAAAAATTGATTGAGTAGCGTTTTGATCACGTGACCCGACATGTGACTTTCGTCGTCGGTATTGTTGCCATAGGGTAAAAGTTCTTACGGAAAACTATCGTCCACGAAAGTTTCAGCGCAATCGGCTGTGTATTTGCGGAGATAGAGCTGTTTATTTTCTTAAGGCAATTTACTCTCCTGACCCAGGCCTAAAACTACTTGAGCTAGGGCTTGAATATTCACTGAACGATTTCTAGAGAGAAATTACTTGCTCCAGTGAGTACGTGGGCGAACGATATCCAGGCCTTTTTTCGAACTTTTCTGTTTTAGCCGGTGTTGAGAGGATTTCAATCTCAGTAAACCCATTCTGTGTGGAAGAGAGGGGGCTGGGGCGACCTTCGTTGTATCCCACCTGACCGGCTTGTCACCTCACCTCCAGAACATTTCAATCGGTAAAATACCAGGCTTCTGTTTTCATGGGGAGAAAGGCGGAAGAAGTGATAGTACTCTAACTTATCTTTAAGTTGCAGCTTATAAACATTTTTGTGATTTTTAATCGTCTCTATTTTCTTTTGGGTTCTCTACAATACAAATGGGTTCTCTACCGATGCTCTTCTTAAATTCGGAGAAGGCGAGTGCTCATAGGTAGCTGAAGCAAGGATTCCCTAAATTCGTCCTCTTCACATTAGCTCTTTAAATGATAAATTGACACACTCCAGGTTTTACAGTCGTGTTTCTTTAGTAGAACCGTTCTACAAAACTTCTGAGTAACCTTAATACAACAAAAGCAGCTGACCTATGCAGGAACAGCCCATGATACTCTCTCAAGACACAGCGGCAAAATAAGTGCGCATGCTTGTAACGCACGAGAAATTTCATATGCGTAAAGGAATGGGAACGTCAATATTTCCATAGTAACACCATCGTGGCAAAACAGCGGCAATTTTGTAATTCTCATTGTTTGGTTTCATTTCGCGGGGATAGGCCCAAACCAAAACAGATAAAGTTGCCGTTTTCAGGAAAGTTTCCTTCAAACCTCCTCCTTCACGTATCTCACTCAACAAAAGAAATATTGCGGTAACAGCTGCAAATTTAGCGACCGCAGTAGTGCATCTGTAACATGGCGACGAAGTTCGTAACACTTTTTATTGCTTAAGCCCTTCTTGTCATCGACTCCTCAGAAGGAAAACTCTTCGGAGAAAAGGATTGTTGTCTCAGCGGGGAAACCCGCATCAGCTTTGTTTGGAGAGGGAGAGCAGTAACCCTGAACGCTCAAATGGCTCCAGAAACGGAGCATGCACACTCATTTTGCCGCTGTCCTCACTCTGTGGTCGTAGTTGATCAAGAAGATAACGTGAATCGTAAGTCACATATCTTAACATCGTCGTTTTCAAGTAAATAAACATCGATAAAATGATTTGATTACACAATCTCTATCAAAACACTGTTTCTATTCATGTCAATAGTGCTCTTTATTCCTTCTACTGAAATACTTAACTTTCCGCATTAACATTTCTTACAAAAACACTTGCCTTGTATTTACTAAGCCTCTATCGAATACCATTATACCGCTTTTTCTACGGCTTTACTTCTGAAAACTGAAATGGAGTTGATTTATCTTGTTGGCAACTACAGCTTTTTCAAGTTCGGTGGATCACAGAGTCTGCAATAATCTGCAAAAAAAAAGAAAAATTTGGTGCTTTTCTTAAATTACATGCCATATTCCAGTCCTACTGAGCTCTGAGACGCGAGAAGCTGGGTTACTTGTGGTGCAGTGCGGGGAAGGACTAACCTATCATGGGATAGGAGACGGGACGTCATCTAACATGGCCGTTAAGATGTACGGCGTGTTTCAATCTCGTTCCCAGGGTCCTCTCTCTTCCTCTCTCGCACGAATTCTTATGGAAAATTGGATTTTCTTCGAGGTGCTTGAGCTTCATGCACCTCAAAGTTTTAAAATTGTGACGAATAAAGTTTGTTGATCTTTAACAGAAATGTCTGTTGGAGACAAAAGAACAGCTGAAGCAATTGAGGGGTCCTGTGGTAGAATTCTTGTTACGAGATCACATCGACTTATTAATGTCGTATAGTTCCATTGTTACGTTGATTGAAGAATTTATGCTGGGTTTAATAAAAGCTTGCGTAAATGATAAGTACTTACATGCCGACAGCGAGACCAGATGAGAAAATGAACTCGAGGTGAGCGGACAACACTAAAGAAAAGAAGAAGACAAATTGGATTTAAACTCAAGGATCTCTGTGGTGGAGAGTAACTTTAGATACAGAGTGTATGGAAATTTCTCGAACTGGTTCGTCCTCAAGAGAATATCAGTTGATATTTGCTTGTTCGTCCTGCAATGTGGTTTCTGTCTCATATTGATGTAACTTTCGCGAACTTTCTAGAACATTCTATCAAACAATACAATAATAAATTAGAAGATCCTCGCAGCTAAGAACACTACTGAAACTAGTAGTTGTAAGTAGGACCTGAAAAAAATTTCAGGCCCGTACGGGATTTGAACCCATGACCTCTGCGATACCGGTGCAGCGCTCTACCAATTGAGCTAACAAGCCAACTGGGAGCTAGTCAATGAATTGGGTACAAATAAACATCCGAGTGAATGAAGATTTAGATATATGAAAATTCACATATTTGCACTGCGGTGGAAAGATGAAATTAGAAGATCCTCGCAGTGGTAGAGCGCTGCACCGGTATCGCAGAGGTCATGGGTTCAAATCCCGTACGGGCCTGAAATTTTTTTCAGGTCCTACTTACAACTACTAGTTTCAGTAGTGTTCTTAGCTGCGAGGATCTTCTAATTTCATCTTTCCACCGCAGTGCAAATATGTGAATTTTCATATATCTAAATCTTCATTCACTCGGATGTTTATTTGTACCCAATTCATTGACCAGCTCCCAGTTGGCTTGTTAGCTCAATTGGTAGAGCGCTGCACCGGTATCGCAGAGGTCATGGGTTCAAATCCCGTACGGGCCTGAAATTTTTTTCAGGTCCTACTTACAACTACTAGTTTCAGTAGTGTTCTTAGCTGCGAGGATCTTCTAATTTCATCTTTCCACCGCAGTGCAAATATGTGAATTTTCATATATCTAAATCTTCATTCACTCGGATGTTTATTTGTACCCAATTCATTGACCAGCTCCCAGTTGGCTTGTTAGCTCAATTGGTAGAGCGCTGCACCGGTATCGCAGAGGTCATGGGTTCAAATCCCGTACGGGCCTGAAATTTTTTTTCAGGTCCTACTTACAACTACTAGTTTCAGTAGTGTTCTTAGCTGCGAGGATCTTCTAATTTCATCTTTCCACCGCAGTGCAAATATGTGAATTTTCATATATCTAAATCTTTAATACAATAATAATCCACTGGAAACCTCAAAATTACTTTTCTTGTAGCGGCTACAAGGAAAGGAATTTTGAAGTCACCCGTACCTTTTAGAATGCTTTATAAATGTGAAACAGGCCGGTCACCGAGTAAAGAAGATGTTTTTGTTGGCAAAGACCGACTTCTTGAAGAAGCTACCAGGAGCTATTGTGGTTTGCAGTGGAGGTATGCCTATAGTCGAGAGTTTCAGAAGAGATTTTACGATAGCAGTCGGTTTGATGTGAGTTGGTATCTGTGATGACAAGGTTAATTTAGTAGTGGACTTTAGTTTAGTTGATGGCAGATTGTGTTGTGTAGGAGTTGTTCCCTTGAAATAGCAAAATTGAATAAGTTAGTCCGTTTCATAAGATAGAGCAATTTTCAATTCAATGGCGAAAGTGATCCGAGATAACTTTGGGTTTGCTTTATTTTGTTCTGTGATTGGTCTCTCGCGGCCACTCTTTCAATCAATCACATCCATGTAAAACTGAAGCCAATCACGACTTCGTCGCATGCGTTGTCCCGCGCTTGAGGCAGTTTGCTTGTTTTTACTTTGAATCTTATTGGCTGTGAAAGGTATTTCTCCTATCTTCTGATTGGCCTTTGTAATAACTTTGGTTTTGGTTTTACATCACTCAATCCAA